ATGGTGGTCCTTTTAGTTTTACCAACTGTGTGATGGTGGGTTCTTGTAGTTTTATAAACTGTGTGATGGTGGTCCTTTTAGTTTTACCAACTGTGTGATGGTGGTCCTTGTAGTTTTACCAACTGTGTAATGGTGGTCCTTGTAGTTTTATAAACTGTGTGATGGTGGTCCTTGTAGTTTTATAAACTGTGTGATGGTGGGTCCTTGTAGTTTTATAAACTGTTTGATGGTGGTCCTTGTAATTTTATAAACTGTGTGATAGTGGTCTTTGTAGTTTTATAAACTGTGTGATGCTGGTCCTTGTAGTTTTATAAACTGTGTGATAGTGGTATTTGTAGTTTTACCAACTGTGTGATGGTGGGTTCTTGTAGTTTTATAAACTGTGTGATGGTGGTCCTTTTAGTTTTACCAACTGTGTGATGGTGGGTCCTTGTAATTTTATAAACTGTGTGATGGTGGGTCCTTGTAGTTTTATAAACTGTGTGATGGTGGGTCCTTGTAATTTTATAAACTGTGTGATGGTGGGTCCTTGTAGTTTTATAAACTGTTTGATGGTGGTACTTGTAGTTTTATAAACAGTGTGATGGTGGGTCCTTGTAGTTTTACCAACTGTGTAATGGTGGTCCTTGTAGTTTTATAAACTGTGTGATGGTGGTCCTTGTAGTTTTATAAACTGTGTGATGGTGGGTCCTTGTAGTTTTATAAACTGTGTGATGGTGGGTCCTTGTAATTTTATAAACTGTGTGATGGTGGGTCCTTGTCGTTTTATAAACTGTTTGATGGTGGTACTTGTAGTTTTATAAACAGTGTGATGGTGGGTCCTTGTAGTTTTACCAACTGTGTAATGGTGGTCCTTGTAGTTTTATAAACTGTGTGATGGTGGTCCTTGTAGTTTTATAAACTGTGTGATGGTGGGTCCTTGTAGTTTTATAAACTGTGTGATGGTGGGTCCTTGTAGTTTTATAAACTGTGTGATGGTGGGTCCTTGTAGTTTTATAAACTGTTTGATGGTGGTACTTGTAGTTTTATAAACAGTGTGATGGTGGGTCCTTGTAGTTTTACCAACTGTGTAATGGTGGTCCTTGTAGTTTTATAAACTGTGTGATGGTGGGTCCTTGTAGTTTTATAAACTCTGTGATGGTGGGTCCTTGTAGTTTTATAAACTGTGTGATGGTGGGTCCTTGTAGTTTTATAAACTGTGTGATGGTGGTCCTTGTAGTTTTATAAACTGTTGATTACACTGAAGCAAGCATCTCTGTTGTGAACTACATTCACTGTGTATCTTCATTTTATTCGCCGTTCATTTTCAAACTTGATTTTTCCTACTCCAATGTCAGATTTTTCAAGTACTATTAGCTGCTAGCAACGGAAGCTAAACTGTCAAGCTAACGTTATCTTAAACCGTTTATTTTACCTGATGGAGCAGATTTAGATGGTGATAACTCATGCAGGTCATTGTCAATATCAGAATCACTCAGTCACCAATCGTATTTAGTAAAGTGGACCCAAACTTTAGAGGCTTTCTTTCTACCATGCTGCTTGCTCTGTTTACATCTCACCCGCAGCGATGGACGGCATAACGCTCTTGCGTGCGCGCTGCTGTCTATCTTGGGAAATCAGGTACTGTTTCATATCACATGAATAGGTCCTCGGTCGGCGCCTTAAAAAGTACCGAATACGGTACCCATCCCTACTCATGACAGATTAAAATGTAAACTAAGCCTTGTCATTTTATTGGAAAATAAATCTCTATCTGGGGATGAATTTTGAAGGTCATGCCAGTTGCCTTATAACAGGGGTGCTCAATCCTAGTCCTGGAGGGCCGGTTTCAGCACGTTTTAGTGGTTTCTCTGCTCCAGCACACTTGATTCAGTGGGTTGAAACACCTGTGCAGCAGCTCATTAGGCTGTGCAGGGGCCTGTTAATCACCTGCTGATTGAAACCATGTGTGTTGAACAGGGTTAAAGCCAACACCTGCTGATACCGGCCCTCCAGGACCAGGATTGGGTACCCCTAGGGATGGGTATCGATTAGGTTTTATCCGATACCGGTGCCAAACCGGTACTTTTGAAATGGTACCGGTGCTGAAACGGTGCCGGAACCGGTGCTTAAAGAATGTAAAAATACACAAGTTTTCCAAAAACCTCTTATTTTATTTTTTGATATTTTTTTGCAAAAATATCACCATGTTAGCTTTTTCTGGCAATATTCGGCATCGCTCTTGGCTGATGGCATGCCCAGCGCAAGAGAAAACACGTTCAGAAGGTGTTGATGAGGCTGGGACACACAAGTATGTATTGGATAGGGCAGATAAGTTGGGCAGTGTATCCCTCTTACTCCACCACCAGGCCACAGGGTCTTGTCCAGAGGGAATTCTTGGCAGTCTTTTGTATATGTCAAGTTCCTTTTGTACCTGCTCAGTGATGGAAGGGACTCTACCCGCTGTATGAGAGGCTGCATCCTCCTTAAGTTGTCTGTCCTCATCCTCAAACAGCTTTTCTAAGGCTGACTTTTGGACCGTTCTTGGCTGGAAAACAAAAATAAGTAGTGTGAGATTGTCACAACAACAAAGATCCCTTTTAGAATGTAGGACTACATGGTTGGGTTAGAAAAACTCAGAAATTACATATTTTTCTGTCTTCATCTCGGCGTCATCCATCACCCTGTCTGCTTGAGGGTCCTCTATGGGAGGCTATGGACACACAAATAAAAAAAACATTCCTTCAACATGGAAACTACATCATGCAGAAGGACAATGTTGTGCAGAAAATACCTGATCAACTGCTGCTGTGGCATTTGCGACTGCTGCCATCTCCAACCTGTCCCAGATGTCAGCTGCCTCACCTTCATCTAGCTTGCCTTTAAAACGTGGGTCCATCAGAGTGGCCTCTGAAGGTTTTCATCCTTTAAAGAAAGTATATAATATAGAAGCTGATACCTAAATGCAATGCTACCCCTATATTTGTTAGTATTCATATGTTCTGCAGATACCTGATATCTGTTCTGCAGACTACCCCAGACGTTCTCTTTCATTGATGAGGTGAAAACGGTGTCTTCATCGGATTGCCTGAAATGTGCCTCCAGCTTCATCAGGATGGGGATGATTTGGCTGCATGTGGGCGACTTCTCACTTGACACACACATGGTTGATGTGTACAGGACTTGCATGCACTTAATAAACATCTCTGCTTTCGTTAGATCAGTGCACGTGAAGCCTTCTAGCCTGTGGAAAATTATTAACAATGTTTAAGGTAAATGACTAAATGAAACAATTTAGCACTTACAAGTGATGCTGGTGTCATTAACTCACTTGTCCTTCTCCATTGGCTTCCTCAGACGTTGATCCAGAACAGCGGCCTGGATTGCATCAAACTGCTCAATAACTCTCTCCACCATCAGGAAGAGAGAGTTCCAGCGCGTTTTAACGTCAAGAATGACATTATGCTCTGGCAAATCTAAAGCACAGACAGACACAAATGTATTTTGAATTACTGTAAAAAAGGTAATATGATTAACAATACATTTACATGTGTAACTGCATATGCTACTTACTCAGGAGTCGCTGCTTTTCTCTGAGCACAGTTTTGCTCAAGGATGAACGCTTGAGCCACACCACAACGGAGCGGATTTTGGCACACCAGCTGGAAACTGCAGGAATGTCATACACCTTTTGTGCTGCTAGGTTTAGGGTATGGGCAATTTCTTTGGTCAATTTAGACCTCTTGGCCAGCGTGAAGGGAGTCTCTGCCAAAAAGAACGCAGCATGTAGCTACGGCCGTGTTTGCTAGCTCACCCTACATGCATTCATTTAATAATGTGTGCTCAACGTATAATACACATAAACTACTTTAAGCTACTTACCCAAAGAAGAGCGGCTGCTGCTGCCGCCATCCTCTGTCAACTTTTCTGCTACAGCGGGAGGGGCTCGGCTGGGGCCAGGACGATTCTCGTCCTCTCCAGGTTCTTCTGGGGGAACGTTGCTAAAGCTAACTCCAATGCCGACAGTAGATGCGTTCGGTGGGAGGTTTCGCTGTTGCAAGCTATCAAACACGGTACATGTCTCGGCTTTTAAAAAAATGCTATGCGTCACCAGGTGTTTCATTAAATTAGAGGTGTTACCTCCTTTACTGAGTATCACCTTGAAGCACCTGTTGCAGGTTGCTGAGTCTGCATCTTTTGCTGTGAAGTACAGCCACGCTTTCGACCGCTTCGCCTTCGGCATTTTGATAAATAATGTAGGTCCGCTCTAATTAAATACGCACTTGGCTGGGCCCGCCTACTATCACCGGAAAAGTAAAATGAGTGGCTACTCGAGTCCAAGATGATTGACATCTCCGAAATGAAGCACCGAAATCTGCGTTGCTTTTCGGTCTGGTTACTACCGTTTATGTCAGAACCGGTGCTATTAAAGTACCGAGTACCGGTACCCATCCCTAGGTACCCCTGCTTTATGAGGGTGTCCATGACACCAATAACTTAAAAATCACATGATCAGACCCGATTTCTGTTCCTGCGATCAGATTGGATCATTCCTATTAATAACTAATAAATGTGAGGTGAGGTGGGACTGTCCTCTTGAGTCCTTATGTATGGTTTTGTCTTTGGCGTATGGTGCTTGAAAAGTTTGAAAATTAACCTTGAAAATTCTTGATTTTGTCAGTGGGAAAAGTCCAAGAACCCTGTCTGCCTCCTGCAGCTACTAGATTGCTGTTACTGGCGTGTCCATGCTCTCCTGGTTGCTTTTGGAGACGTTCTGCCATCCTGCTCTTCCCTGCTGAGCATTTCATAATTAGGCTCAGCTTATTTCTATCAGCTGTGCATTGAATGACAAAATCTTTGGCAGAAAAGAAGGATGAGGAGATAGCAATAACCTTCCACGCCCCTTTTATTTGAAAGGTTGATAGCAGAGCCATGTGTATGTTTCTGCTGGGCCTCTGTCCTCAGCTCCACCTGCTTCCATCCTAAAGATGTGAGCTAATGGCCTCATGTTTGTGTTTCAGGTCCAGCTGATCCACTACAATCATGAGCTGTACACAAACTACACAGAAGCTGCTAGAAGTCCCAATGGAATCGTCATTATATCCATATTCATGAAGGTGAGTCTCATCAACGATGGAAACTCTGTCTGCCCACAAGGCTTTGATTCTAATTGAATTACCATAATCTTGACTCCGCCTCCCCCAGCAGCTCTTTTGAGGTTATTATCTGTAATCCTGCAAAACAGCTTTGGAGGGGAGTTCATTGTAGCTGCTCAGCAGGCTTGACCTGCACTAATTCACTGATTAATAATCTCAAGCCAGCTTATAAAACTGGAAAAAGCTTTAATATCATTTAAGAAACATTTAAAACTAAAGATGGGCAAAAAGCGCATCTGAGTGGAGTCTTTCACAATCGCTGTCTTCCTCGAAGCTTTATTCTTTTATAAAATAGAATTGTAATTATTATAAATACGTATGTCTTATAATATCTGAGGCATTACCAAATGTTTTATTCCACTATAAAAAAGTGTTAAGTTTTAGATAATTATTGCCGGTGGTGGCTTGCCCATAGGGGGCGCTAGGGCGCCACCCATCCAGTCTTACAGGAAGAAGAATCACAAAATATGAAATAAAGCATGAAAATGAAACTGAACGATCTACAACATACAGACTGTAAGTGCTGTGTTTAATCTGCATCCAAGTGTAGTTTAAATGTCTTTTTTACACTTTTTTATTTATCAAACATCACAAATCATATAACAACGGATTTATTGTAAATGAATGTAAACAGTCTCCAAGTATCATATGCTTAAAGTGACTGTGTGTATTTTTCCTGGTGATTCGGGGCAGTAGATATTTAAATTGTTGCAATCAAGCTGTAGTTTTGTGTTGGAGTAAGACCTTACCAACAGATGCCCATTAGGGTCAAAAAGCCCTGGGGAGTGCTAACTTTAGCCAACTAACAAACACATCAGAGTCCCTTTCATCACTGGCAACAAGTGAAGAGGTACATGTGTGAAATATTATTTAAGAATGACGAAAGTTTTTTAACTGTTTGTTAAAAATCAGTAAATGCAGTTTGTCCTCTTGGGCTCCCGTAGAAGGAAACATGACATCTAATATGGCGCTTTAGACCCATAGGCCCAATCCCAACACTCGCATTTGCACCCTTCATTTGTGCGTTCCCAGCCAGGGGTGCGAGTGCGTAGGGTGTCCCGATTCTCAATTGCGGAAGTTCACCACGCCCTCATTGCACCGTTAATCTGCACTTCACCCAAGTCCGCAGTGATGCGGACCTGGGGCAAGGGTATTACCCACAAGTCATTGCTGCGGGAGAAAAGGCTCAAGTTTCTATTCTGAAATTATTTTCTAATTAGGTCATTTTAGGACAATTAGTTGATGCGCTAAGACATTTAGACAAAGCAGCATTATATGTACATTTATTTCAAACAACTGTTTGGCTGTTTGTTTAAAAGTTGTTAATAAAGGTTTTTGAAAAAACTATCACAACAACCAGCATCCCGGCATGTGCTGAGATTGATGACGCAACACTCCCGGTCTCAATTCTGCAATTATTTGCACACTTGTGTACGACGCACCCGAAGCCTTACAGTGCACTTCCTCCAAGTGCACTTTGCTGAAAACTGCAGTGCGAGTATTGAGATTGGGCCATAGACATAGACCCCACGTAGCCGCTACTGCCTAGGGGCGCTGACGAGCAGTGGCGTCGCCATCTTGGATCGGTCCAAAAATCTAATGTCAGAGTGAGGTACAGGCAAGGTCATACACAAACAGGCAGAAGTCAGCAATACTTATCAGGGGGTCGAGCAGGGATCAGTAGTCAAAGTTCAGAGCCAAGGTCGGGGTCCAGATGACAGATGGACGAGAGAATCCGTGAGGGGCAAGGCAGGCAGAATCCGTGGACGGAAAACGTGGCCAAAAGTCAAAAGGCTTGGTTGAAAATATCGCTGGAGTCTCTACTGGCACAAGGCTGTCGATCGTCCGGCGGTGAGACAGAGCCCGAGCTTAGCTTGAAAGGAGGAGCGCACAGGTGAAGCAAGGAGACAATCAGGCAGGGCTCAGGTGAGCTGTGTGTAGCTGATTACCAGGAAGACTGGCAGAAAGGAAAAAACAAGCATGGCAGAACAAGGTGGAATCATTACTATCATTCTTACAGATAACAATAGAGGTGTTTGTGTAATTCTTATAATATGGTGTCAATATAATTCAGAGGGTGAGAGAGAACTAGAATAAAGTCTGGATGACAAGAACACGACAAACCATCAGAACTGTTAGTGATGTTCTGGTTCTGCTGGATTTGTGTCTCTCTCTCTTTCTGCAGATCTAGAAGTTGCTTCTTGTTCATCCTTTACTGTTTATTTTTGTGAACTCTCCCCCATCTCTCCCTTTCCTCTCCCCCGTTCTCCTCATCTCCAGCTCTGTGTGCTGTGGGATTAAAAACAACCAAAAGCATCTCTAATAAAGTTTAGATATCAGGTGTAGGATTACGGCTGAATCTATGACGCTCTACCTGTGAGGGGTACACTGTTATCGGTACTCGGACATCAGGTCTGGTTGCTTTACAGCAGGACAGGACACGGGGAGAGAGAGAAAACAACTGGCTGCTTAAGGGAGTTCATTTTATTTGTTTTGTCTTCATTTATCTGTCGCTTGTGTTGAGATGTTTTTAAACAGTAACTGAAGCTTTCCATGAGCTACATCCCCTGAAAGAGGACTGCTTTGCAGAGCTTTCATCTGGAGCTCCTCTTCTGCAGTTAGAGAGAAAAAGAAAAAAATCTTTTCTATAGCGCCTCTCAAGATAATAAAAGTCACGAGGTGCTTCACAAAACCAAAAATTTTAAATATAAAAAGGATTTAAAAACACGATTAAAAAATGTTTAAAATGGGCAAAAATAGACAATCGTGGTAGAAAAATGTAAAGAAGGAGAGAGAGTGAATAGGAGAGAGGGAAATCAGTGAATCCTTGGGAAGACAGAATAAAGAGAGAGAGGTGAAGAAGGTCCTACAAAAGCCAGACTGAACAAGTGAGTCTTCAGCTGCTTTATAAAGGAGACCTGACACGATTTGAGGATGGTTAGGACCCAAAATGCAGATACCCAGGATGACACGAGGCAGGAGTTGATATAAATAAAAAATCCTTTTATTTGTAGGACGAACAAAAAAATAAATCCAAAGGCAGGGAGCCAAAAATCCAAAAATGTCCAAATACTAAAACTAGAGATCAAAAACACTAGAGACACAAGAAGCACCAAGTACCACTAGAGATCAGGAACGAGAAGACTGACAGAATTACAACAATGGACCGACACAAGACTTAGACAAGGACAGGGTTTTATACACTGGGGCTGGAGTGATAGGAGACGAGGAGCAGGTGTGTGGAGAACTGGCACAGGTGAAAGCACTAATGAGAGGAGGAGCAGAGGAGGACACCAGACCTGACTGGGGAAGGACACACACACATACACACACACACACACACCGAGCTGGGGAAGGACACACACACACACACACACAACTGAAATAAAGACCTATATAAACTAAGGTGGGGAGACTGATGGGCTCGACACACGGGAGGCGACAAACGACCGCGATCAGTGAAATTCGTCGCTGTCGCTTTTATTACCTGACACACGGGAGGCGATCCGCGGCAGCGGCCAGCAGCAAAGCCGTCGACGCGTTCTGTTCCATGGCGAAATCGAAACTTCCGTTGTTTTGATTGGCTGTGTCAGGTTGGAGGGAATTAAGGTTATTTAAGCGGTTCAGAGTTAATAAAGTGGTAGATATGTTTCACAAGGTGCTGCTAGAGTTATATGAAATCTTACTTCTGATTTTACTATAAAACATAATAATAATCAACTTCTCCTCCATGTTTGCTCTGAGACGTACGGATCATCCTGTTCGCTCATTGGTCAGTGAATGAAACCTCCGTTGATTGGTCCTCGTCCGAGCGACAGCGATGAAAAGTTGAAAATATTTCAACTTTCTGGGATCACGTCACTGGGTCGTCCATGCACGACACGTGCATGAGCGCAAAATATCACACGCACGTTTTTCGCGTTTTGCTTAGTAGGAGGGAGACCCGCGATTATCGCTTTGTCGCGCATGTCTCATTGAAAATGAATGGAGGAGAGGGGATGTCACCTCCCGTGTGTCGAGCCCATAAGAGACATGAAGAAAACCAGGAGAGAGCTGGGGACAAAATGGGCTGGAGCTACAAGGACACAGAACGTGAAGGAACACCTGGAGGGGCTGGGGATGACTGAATGAACACAGGGCCTGGGAGGAATGATCTGGAGGGCTGCAAACAGGAGACATATGAAGAACACAGACACATAAATGAGACACAGACAAAGGACACATGAGGGCGCTATGAGACACAAAGGGAGAACTTAGAGGGATGGAGAACACAAGGAGACACATGAGGGAAGACGCAGACATAGACCATGACAAGACCACTGAGTCCACTGATCTCAGGCTCAGGGGGAGAAAGGTCCAGAGTCTGGGGGCCACAGCAGCAGATGATCTGTCACCTTTGGTCTTTAGCCTGGTGCTGCACAACCAGTAGGCTTTGGTCACTGGACCTCAGGGACCTGCTGGGGGTGTAGGGACCGAGATGAGGAAGAGGCAGGATTGGCCATGTGGGCTGCCTTCTCTTCAGATCCGCTGACTTAACCAACAACATCACGTATGACGGCCGTGGCATCAGCATGAGTGCTGCACATCTGTGTTTAGCCTGGTCCTCTTAGGCCAGGCTCGTCATCCACCAACCACAGCCCCCTGTAAAACAATAGGAACATGTTTAAAGGTGCATTATGTGGGATTGAAGTTAACATGACATCCTGTGGTAAAATGCTGTTTCTACAACCACCTTAAAGAAGTGGTAATTCCCCCCTCAGAGTCTTACTCCGCCCATGTATCAATTTTAAAAACTGCAACATTAGTAGGCGTTGCCTGGAGGACCGAGAGGGCGGAGCCGCGGCAGTGACGAAGATGATGGCTAACTAGACGATGCTAGCTCCCTTCACTCTGAGCAGTTATTAGAAGTGGAGGACGTTTCTCCCCCTCCTTACCCAGACACTCGAGAAGAAAGGGACCAA